ACGTGTTTAAATAAAGTGTCGATTGTTGATAGTTATGAAGACATAATTGATCATATATTCACTTGTTGATAGTAAATAATTTTTTTACGCTACCCAGCATTTCTGGATCTAAATGATTACTGTAAATAGCATTTGTGCTTTAAATTAAGACTGGAAATTCCGGTTACTTATACCTTTTACCACAAGAAGCCTTTAAACATAAATAATAAGTTTTTAATACAACTATAAATTAAGAGACAACTGACGAGGATAAAGCGGATCTGTAGATTTGTCGATAGTGTCAGTGTCTGCATTTATAATGAGCTGTTAACTGTGAGAAGAACAGTAGAAAAGGAAAGGATAGAGGCAGGGTAGAGCTCATGGGATGAAACGGCGGACGATCGCAGCAGCACACAATTGATCTTTCTTCACCATATTTAAATAAACTTTTTGGTCCATTTGAGGGTACCATACCACCTTAAGAACAGGATCTGGGTACGAGATCCGGCTGCCATAGTAACGTGCTAGAGATCAAGACTTTTTTTTTAACTTTTTCATTTATTACTTACGATTTTAATCGTTTCGGTCGTTTCGCTCGTTTCGGCGGTTTCGTTTCGCTCGTTTCGCTCGTTTCGTTTCGTTTCGTTGTTTCGGGTTTTAGTACATGCCCGATTGGGCTTCGTCGCTCAAGATAAATAAGTCAAAGATCAAGGATAAAGAAAAGGTAGACCTGTGGCAAGTTTACAGCTGCTGTTGCAGGGTTGTTGTTCACTGCTGTGGGATAAAAACTGTAGCGCTAAAAACTCGTACCTAGACCTTTTCGCGCTGTTGAAAAAATTTCTCTTGTTGACATGACGGTTGACATGTAAGACAAGGGTGAACTATTTCATTCTTCTCATTCTTTTATTTACTCTCATCCAACTCAACAAGATTGTCTGCTCCCTGCCGCTGGACTTGATTTACAGGCACGGCGGAAAAACCGCGGCTCATGCGCAGTAGATTTCGATTTGTCTTCCCGCCTTTCCATTTTCAAA